AGATTAGTGCAAATGTTTCATGGTATTCAACACCCACGACACTATGTGAATCCTTTAGCTACAAGACTTGCTTTATAACAAGAAACTTTACCTTTAACACTACATTTGATGATAAACAACTATTTATATCTTACTATCTCTATGTTTGGTGGTGGGAGAACAAGAGACTATATCTCATTTTTTAGAAGTACATCATATTTATCATTGATTACATTCATCCAATATACATATTTAATGGCTTATCTTACATTGGATGGTTCCATATTGTCAATGAGTGGATACTTTGTGACATGAAATTCCTTTTATGTTTGAAGATGTTATGTTTAGAACGAGTGACCACGTGATTAGATATTGTTGTCTCTGGGACTTGTGAGGGTGGGTTAATTGAAGCATTTAATTATGAAGGATGTTGTTTAGAGTTTCACATTGGACAATATGTGACTTGGACATATGTTTATAAGTGAGGAAACCCTTACCTTACAAGCCGATTTTGTACTATTGTGTTAGGTCTAACCAAATTATGAGATGATATCAGAGTCTAGTTCAAGATCTATTGGACCATGTTTTATCTGGTTTCCTCTATCGGGTCGCCCATCATCCATGTCCAACACTAAATCTAACAGTGAGGTGTGTGAGAGAGAATGTTAAGAGTCACACATCGACAATATGTGGCTTAGGCATATGTTTATAAGTGAGAGTCTCTCATGTTACAAGCCACTTTTGTAAGGTTATTGAATAAATTTTAGAGTATTACATAAGTATATGTAATAGAGGGACCATAATAAGGAAGTGATGACTGTGTCTGGGAATGTACATATGGTGGTGAAGTATAATTTGGTGATGAACTTTTGACATGTTGTAAAGGTAACATGGTGAGAGTTTGTTGGGTAACATTACTTGGTAAGTGATTGAAAGTTAAGGTGTAGTTAATGCGTTCAATTTATGGAAAAACATCATAAAAAGTTTGACATGTCGTGAGGTATATATTTTTTGTGATATGAAAGGTTGAGGAAGTGATATGCATATTGAGATTCGACATAACCTATAAAGATGCTTGTTTTGGAGTACAAGAAAAATGCATGAGATTATGTGGGGGAGAGTCAATAAAAGCATATGAAGCCAACACCATGAAGGTGCGGAGGATTTGGCCCCGTTTGGTGTAGAAGTTGAAATAGTAATTTCATGTTAAGGACAATGGTTGAACTTTGTTTATAAATTAAACTACAATATTAAAGGTATAACTTTAGAAGTATTAAGGTAATTTTGGTGTATGAAGGATAACTTATCATGTCTCAATTATTTGTCTGTGTCTTCTTTTAGCACAAGCATTTGGTTCCAATGAAAACTTTACACGTCTCAACTGTCTGTGTCATCTCTTATCACTTAGAAAATTTTAAGTTTTAGAACTCTCATTCATTATTGGTGTTTAAGGTAATCATTGGCAAATTGAAGTAGTTTTGAACTAATCTTTTAAAATTTGAAAAGATTGAGGACACATAACCAAATAATAATAACATCCATCAATATATTTTATCAAGGTTGGTCTTATTCATCAACACATTAGTTCAAGAGATTTTCTACTAGTCAATCTCAATATAGAGAAAGGTAACTTAGGACTCTTTACAACATTACATGAAATTCAAGAATTTTGAATTTTAAAGGTTATTTGTGGAAGAAAATTCATTTATCTCATAATTTGACTAGATAAATATCCAAGGATACAATGTCAAGATGTATTGATGATAATGATTTGTAAAATGAGTTTTGAAAGCGGGTGGTGGTTGTGGCATGGTATAACGTTTATCTTTATAGTGACCTATGATTAGACGACTCTCCTATTCACATCTTTCACTGAGAAATACTCTGAAAAAAGTCAATAAATATTATATTAATTTGACAAATAGGGAATTCATATAGTACTTTCTTGGAGATTTTTGGAACATGTAAAGCTTTTGGAAGGTTAAGAAGTCAAGAAAAAATACTTTGTGATGCGAAGACCAAACCCATCTCCTACCAAAAATTTGCCAGTATCATGATAAAAAATAATGAAATGCATATTATCGAGAGCATTTGTGATGTGATAAGTTGGAGTCAAGTTCACAATCTAATAATTGGTAATAAAATAAGAGATAGTGGTTACATGATATGCAACCGAATTTCTAGGTCATTTAAAATAGTTGTGAAGTTTGCAACAAACCTTGACTGCGAGGCTAAGTTTGTCACAATATTGACATATAACCTTTTTAGAAGAAACATTATATTTTTACATCTAAAATATACACTACATTCAAAATAATAATTTTGGAAAATTAAAAAAAAATTATTATTTTTTTAAAATTTTTTTGGATTAAGAAAGACCAATATAAAAATTGTATGATTAACTAATTTTTATCACTTTATTAACCAAAACCCGATATTTTGTGAATAGAGAATACATTGTAGGTGTAAGGAACGATGTAGAAATAATATAGTTTTTTTTAGAATTATATGAAAAAATGAAACAAAATGAATTTGAGTTATTTTGAAGAAATTCACATTTTTATATGTTCAGTATTTTTCAGATTACGTCTTTTAACATGAGCTCCTTTATATATAGAGCCCAAACTATTTGATTAAATACCACATATATTTGTTGTATATAAATATCAGAAAAATATTCTCATTGTTTATTATCATATAAATCTCTTGCCTTGTTTTCCTTTCTAAGATATATTTTTTTTACGGTATCTCATGTTTTATTCCAATAAAATTAAAATTATTATTATTTTTGATCTAATGATCTAAAAACAAAATTTCATTATTTAAAAATTAATTGTTATATGTTCAGATCTAAACAATTGCAATTAAATATTTCTGCAGCTACTATTATATAATATGAAATAACGGTAATTTTATCTAAGTCAATCCAAAACTTAAGTAAAATATTTTTATAAATTTTAATATAGATATAATATAATTAGAGTCAAATGTTTTTAATAAATTAACAATTATACGTATAATTAATTACCATTAATAATTTCACGTTTTTAAGTTAGGTATGAATTTTAAGGAAAAATATGAAAAATCATCATTAATTGCTTCATCTTTTTAATTGACTTGAAAATTTCACCGAATATGATACTTTACCATAATTTCATTTCATTTTTTTTGTGTTTTTTACTTGTGAATGACTTAAATTGCTTTGACAAATTGCCTTTCACAACCTATATACCTTATCCCCATAACTATTGCACATGCAAAATACAATGCTATAAATTGCTATACATACCAAACATTATAACATAACATGAGGGTTGGGAATTAAAGAGGATATATTTCATGAGCATTAATATATTAGGTCTGAAATTGCTTTGCACTTAATTGACTGAAAAGTTTTCCAACCGCCTTACTAAAGAGGTGAGTCATCAACATCTGGTACCTTTTGTTTTTTACTTCAAAATAGTGTAATAGTATAGTACAATCATATTCACGGTTCTTTTATTTTCCATGTGTTAATATCCTCATCTTAATTATATGAATTCGGGTTGATTAATTCAGTTAGGTTGAATTAAGAGTTAAATTAGAATTTGTCCACATAGTGATTCACATTATTTTTTTTGACGGAGTGATTCACATTATTATTTAGTCTAATTCATGCGTCTTGTCACCTTAGATGATGCTATATCATGCACTATGTACCGCGTTGGGACCTCGTTGCACTATGCACAGCATTCACAAGTCGTTTTACATTAAAATGAAAATCCGTGTATTAAAAAAAGACTATATTTTTTTTCAAAGACTAAATAGAATTTCATATTATTATTTTGGAGACCAAATGAATCTTTCGCTCTCTTAATTCACGAATAAACTCTTTTTCACAATATGTCAAAAAGTTAAGGTCACTTGTAACCAAAGCATTATACAATTAATTATTAAAGTAATTGAATTATTAGTTACATATTATTATTGAGTATAACGAATACTTATCATCATCAAAAGTTAGAATTCCCATTCTTGCGACGCTGGCTACAAACACTAACACCTCCGATCTATGTCGACAGCCGACATGGAATTTGAAAGCGCTGGAAAGGTTTGTGCTGTGGGTGGGTGGGACAAACATCTTGAATATGGTACAACTGTCTCTACGTGGGAAAGACACATTAAGCCGTGGATAAAAAAACTATATAAATTATTACAAAAATGTACAGATAGAAAAAAAGTAGAGAAACGAAACCAGCACAAAGAAGCAATCCAAAAGCACGTTACACACGTCACTCGCAAATTAAGGACAACAAACCAGTTTATTTCTTTTCCTCTTTAATTCAAATATGTAATATTTCATTTATTCATGTCATGAATTGTCCTTAGTTTATCTGACTAAATAAATAAAAAGAAAAGTGTACATATTCTTAATTCGTTACACTAACTATCTATTTATTAATTAATAAAATATTAAGCGAGGATTTAGTTTCTAAAACCTTAATTTAGGCTTATTTTTTCCACACTTATATGCGGTTACGCTCATGTTTATTCCATTCTAAATTTTTTTGCAGGTATTTGACTTAAAGAAGAAAGTGCCTCTTTGATTCTTTCCCTTGTCACACGGCAATTAGTCAAATTAAAAAAATCGGTTTAATACTTTTTTTGACGGTGAAATATTTTATATTTCTTTTATTATTATTTTCTTTTGAAACTTTTTAAAACAAAACCATGTGAGTGTAGTAAACATTACTTACTGTTCACAACGATTAGTCCGTGATTGGCTGAAACTTGAATTGAAATCCAAACTTGAATTAAAAGCTCTTCTCATTTCTCTACTTCCAAACACGACTTAAGTTTCAAACGGATTTCTGATTTTTTTCTTCTACTCACCTGCTTTTCAGAGATATTTTTTTCTACTTTTTTGTTTGTGAGAGTGGGAGCGTGAGATAGGGATAAAGAATTGGTTATTTGTGCTATGATTTGGAGCGAAAAAGCTTTATAGTGGTTGTAACGGTTTCATCTCTCCTGCGACAGTTACTATGAGTTTTCTGAACGGTGCTTCACCGCGCCGGAGTCCAGCGGAGAATGTTGATATTGAAGCTGGTCCGTTGTCTCGCCGCTCTTCGGATATTGATGACGACGGTGATCTTTCCGATCCGTTTGATATTGCTAGAACAAAGCATGCTTCTATTAATCGACTGAGACGCTGGAGAGTACGTTTTTCTGTTCTTTCTTATACTCGTAACTACTGTTGTTGATTTTTTTTGCTGTTTCGGTTTTGTTTATTTGTGATTTGGTTAGTTTATCTCTATCGGTGTGTTTGTTTTTCAAGTGTTTGTGAACTGTTACACTGATTGATGCTGTTGTTTCTATTTATGGCAGATTTAGGGTTTATGAGAGTGGTTTTTGCATGCTGTGATTGAAATTCGTTGCTTAGGGTTTTAGTTTTAGTTTCGTGTGTATAGTGAGGCAACAATGAGTATTGTATTTGTGACTCTTAATATAATCTATGAATTAATGAAGTAGTGTTGTTTTTAGATAAGGGTTTTTGTTGTTGAGGGTGGAGTGAGTTAATGGCCAGAGGATGAGGAAGTTTTTTGGATTTTGTCTTCATTTATAGAAACTGTTTTTGATTCACATTTTGTTTGTTGCAAAGTTTTGAGTTGAAGTATGGTTTCTACAATTGCCTTAGTATATTGTGATTCTTTGATCTTTTTTAGTAACATGTAGGAAGAGAAAAGGAAAAGAGATTCTCAGAACACTCTAGAAAGATAGAGTTACAGCTTACTTGTTCTGGTTGTTAGCACATTTAGGAATAGCAGTGCAGTTTAGGGTTTTATTTCATTATTATATATGGGAAACTGATTTTGGGGTCCATCATGTGGTGATGTGGAAGTAGTGGAACGTTCGTTCCTTTTCGTATTAGAGTACAAGGTTTAGCTTTCACGTAGCTAATTGTTGTACTAGTTCATATACAATTTTGCATGGATGTTAATTCACTTCACTTCTATATTTGATGCAAATCTTGGTACCTGTTTATTGTCTTTAGAGAAAGCAGGATATACAGACATGAAAATGTTATAATTGGAGATACTTGTTACAAGCCAGTCCAATAAGCTATAAGCTATTTTATTTGTGTTACCAAACATAGCAAAAATACAGTGCGCTCTTTAACTACCATACATTAGAAAAAAAAATAATTTTATTCATGCAAAGAACATTTTCAATAGGCGTTTGGGGCACATTTTCCAAGTTTTTTGCACTTCAAAGAGAGTTGTTTTCTTTACATGTATGACACTTGGCGGCTTGATAATAGGGTGTTTTGCGGATTCTTCCACGGTTAATAGATTTAGATTCTAAAATAATGAGTGAGTTCTTGGGCTTTAATTGTGTGATTCTTGCATAGAATGGATGGGTAAATCACTGTTATCAATACCAACTTGCAAGACGGAGCTGCTGACTCCGAAAATTCTATAACTCATGTCCTCTATCAGAAATTAAAAAAATGTGTCATTATTATTTTACACTAAACTTATCAATGCTAATAATAATAGTTGAATCTAAAAACTAATAATCTAAAGAAGCTGAAGCAAAAAGAACACAACACACAGTTATGCTTGATATAAACTAAGGCGAAAGGAAGAAAGGGAAGAACCTAGATGTTTAAAAAGAGGCATAGGTGCCTCTGGTTTCTGTCGGTCTGTCAGAAGGTCAGGGTAGGCCGGAAGTAGTACTATTTCAGCGGTATAGTGGAAGAAAATGATACTCCCTCCGTTTCAAAATGAGTGTCGTTTAAGGTTTTTGCACACAGATTAAGAAATGCAATCATATTGTCATGAGACATTGCACTTTTACTAAATTAGCTTTATTAATTTATTGGAAGTAGTGTGCAGAGTAATAATTATAGGACACAATTGGAAAAATAGCTATCATTACTACATTGAAAAGAGTGAATGACATTCATTTTGAAACAATTTTTTTTCTCTAAAACGACACTCATTTTGAAATGGAGGGAGTATACTGCATATTGGTAACCCATTGAAGTTGTGGTGACTCGAATTCCAAGCTGGTTTCAACGGAGAACTAACATTAGCCTTCCTTTTACATTGTTGTTGGTTGGAAACCACACTGGCTGAGTGGTTCAGTGGCTGGAAATAGAAAAAGCAATACTTTGTCTTAAGTTGAAGTAGAGTAAATGTTCTATGTTCTGTTACTATGGCGCTACTGCAAAATAACCAAAATTTATCTGGGACATGAATCCCCTAGCATTTTCTTTATAGTACAAATTTCTTCTTCTTTCAGCTGTACAAAAGTTGTTTTCTTATTAACTGCATTCAGACTATAACTAGTTTCATACTTTCATTCGATTATTCTGTATTTCTATTACTGACATGGGAGCAATCCCTTGTGTCTTTAGCAAGCGGCGCTTGTGCTAAATGCTTCCCGTCGATTTCGTTATACCTTGGACTTGAAGAAAGAAGAAGAGAAGAAACAAATACTGAGAAAGATTAGAGCGCACGCACAAGCCATTAGAGTACAGTTCCTTCATTGGACTTTCTTTGTTATGCTTATGCGTATGTGTAATGCACTACTTATTCATTTTGCCTTAACAGGCAGCATATCTTTTCAAAGCAGCTGGGGGGCAGGGACAAGGACAAGAGCAAGGACAAGAGCAAGTGAGTGGTAAGTAATTTGATGATGCTCATTGTTATTTATAAATATCTTTGGGTTATTATTTGTAATAATTTTGTCATTCTGGAACCAATGCTATTATCTCTTTTATTTGTGAACATTTTCTGCTTAAGAATTATTGGTCTGTTTGACTGGATGAAGTTTGAGAGAAAAAGAGAATTTGAGAGAGAAAGGTTATGATAATTGGATTTTCATTATCTAACTGTGTTACTAAAATAGGTATTGTACTAAGCAGTTGCCAATGTTGACTAAACTGAATAGGAATTACTCTCATAAGTAACTGACAGCGACTTAGCAACTACTTATAACCCTGTTTAACACTGACACTTTAGGTTGAAGGGGTGTTTGACATGTTTCGAAAGACCAACACTCGTATGACCCTTGCATGTGATTACATTCAATAGAGTGGGGATGACGATGGCATCGCCATGAGTAAGAATAGAGTGAACCAGAGAGTGAACTGAGGCTTGGGGAGTGAGAGCATCTGCAAGTTGATAATATGCTGGTAGTACACAGAACAATGAGGGACCTAGCTAGAGCTCGTTCTCAAACAAAGTAAAAGTCTAGCATCAAGTGTTTTGTCCTTGAGCGAAGCACCAAGCTGTATATACTGATTGAACTCTACGTTGATTGTCACAGTAGGCTACAAGAGTTGTGTTCTGAATTTTCAATTCAGAAATAAGAGACTGAATTCCAATGAGTTCTATAGCCATGCGAGCAAGAATACAAAACTCTTCTTTGCACAAGAATGAATAACAATGTTTTGTTTCCGTGCTCTCAAAGACACCAAGTTTGTGCCTAAGAAAATGCAAAAGCCTGAAGTTGAGTGTCTGCCCTCAATGTTAGAGGTCTAATAGTATCACATAACGTGTTTTAATACTTTTCCAGTGCTCCAAACAAGTGGCACACTTTTTTCTGCATTAAATATACTTTCATTTTGTGATACCTGCTTCATGGCCTTGCCCTGGTATATTATATTGATTCAGTATAGATAACTTAATAAACTTTTTCTGTTTTTCCTTACTCAATGTTAATAATCAATTATTTTAACTGTTAGAAACTACAAAGCCTCTTCAAACCTCTACCGGTGAATTTGCAATTGGACCAGAGCAACTCGCCTCCATTTCAAGGGAGCACGATATTGCCTCATTGCAGCAATATGGAGGGGTATGTTTGCCAAGAATAATTTTTTAAACTGGGTAATATTATCAATGGTAGTCATAAATTTCATGATTTTTCTTTCTGAATTATATCAGGTTGCAGGGGTATCAAATTTATTGAAAACTGATTTAGAGAAGGGAGTTGATGGTGATGATGCCGACTTACTAAGACGGAGGAATGCATTTGGTTCCAACAATTACCCTCGAAAGAAAGGAAGAAGTTTTCTGGTAACTTCTATTGTTCTTGGACTATCGGAATCATAAGTGTTTTATGGTTATGTGGTATAACTCAGACTTGGTAAACAAGTTAAACTGGTCCGCCCAAAGCCTAACTAGTTATTTTTGGGGGGTTGGGTTACATTACATATATTAACCTGCTTAACTGCGGGTGTGAAGTGGAGCGGGTTAACTTGTTTATTTTTTTTATTGAACTTCTTAATATCAAATTTGTAAGACCAACTCCAAATACAATTTTTCATTGTTTTCGATTCCTAATCCCATTCACTTTTTTTTACCTCAACATGTTCATTTTTTTCCTATTTAATTTCTTCGATTTCTATCTTTTAATATTTGGGGGCAGGTTGACTGGCCAGCCCATTGTAAAACAGCGACAGTTGATGATATTACCAATTTATTTTTAAATAAGGTCAACCTGCCAGTTTTTATGGGTTGGTGATGGGGTTGAACGGGGCTAGTTAACTTGCATTGCAGCAACCTCATTATGTTTTACCCGGGGGAATATTGTTGTGACTTTGTTTTTGATGCCTTAACAGATGTTTATGTGGGATGCTTGCAAGGATCTGACCTTGGTTATTTTAATGGTAGCTGCAGCAGCTTCATTGGCACTGGGGATAAAATCTGAGGTGAGAGTGGCTAAGACAGTTCTAGCACAATTCTGTGCATTTTGTTGGGTGCCAACAGTGATTATGTCCTTCCATTTGTAATTTAGGAGAAGTGGTATATTTTATTAATTTTGAAATTGTTTCATAATATTCATAAATATTTCTGTTGCAGGGTATTAAGGAAGGATGGTATGATGGGGGAAGCATTGCTTTCGCAGTTATTCTTGTTATTGTTGTTACAGGTATCATATTTTCTTTTTGGGGTACTAAGATTTAAAATGGATGGAACATGGACTCGGATCCCTTAAACGAGCCTTCACTTTAGAGGGGAAAATAATGCAATTCAGCTGTTGATGACAATCTCAATACTCGATATTTTCAATACACATGTGGAACAAATCTCAATAATGCAATTCAGCTGTTGATGACAATCTCAATAATCGATATTTTCATTACACACGTGGAACAAATCATTGACTTGTTGAAATATCAACAGTTGGTTTTCTTATCGGGTTTCGATGTTTTTGTTCCCCCTCAAATTTGAATAATAAATCATTTGAGAGGTGCTGAGTTCAAAATGCACAAAAGTTGTTTTTTATTACAAATTTTAGACTGTTTTGTACTTTCCTATTTGGTATGAAGTCTTTGGTGATGCAACTTGTTCATGATCCACTGCCCACTTTGTCATTGTAGAATTTGTCAGTAATTTCTCCGTTGAACATGCCTCACCCAATTTCAGTAATTTTTTTTTGAAATAACAAGTGTTTATGTTAGTGAGGGAGTTAAACACATGACCTCCTTATCACACCAATCCTTATGTTTCCCCCTAAATCCCCAAGCCACCTTATCACTCCAATTCCATTAATCATATCTCCCTCATTTTGTAGCTGTAAGTGATTATAAGCAGTCTCTTCAGTTTCGAGACCTAAATGAAGAGAAGAGAAATATACACTTGGAGGTTTGTTTTTTTTTGAATGCTTGATTTGACTTTTTATATTCATATTATATTTTACTAACAATTTTCTTGTCACATTTTTAACTTTATGTCTGAATTTGTGCTTGAGAAGGTTGTTAGAGGTGGTAGAAGGGTTGAGATCTCAATATATGATCTTGTTGTTGGGGATGTTATTCCTCTTAATATTGGTAACCAGGTACATGATCTAGGTCATTTGTTGTTTTGCTTTCTATACTTAATGATTAGATTTCTTTTTTCTTATTACTTTTGTTGTTCTTTACAGGTCCCTGCTGATGGAATTGTGATCAGTGGTCACTCTCTTTCCATTGATGAATCGAGCATGACGGGGGAGAGCAAAATTGTTAGTACTTTCAATATTGGCAGAATTTTAGAATATTGCTTTATTGTAATGAATTTTGTTTTTGCAGGCCCACAAGGATTCTAAGAATCCCTTTCTGATGTCTGGCTGTAAGGTTGCAGATGGCAGTGGTACTATGCTGGTAAGTTAGACTTCATTTTTCCTTACTTTCTCTTTTAATTTTATGCTGTCCTAGTTTAATTTGTGTCAGAAGTTTTGCAAGGGTCATTTAGGTAGTTAAGGGCATACAATAGTTGCTTTGCTAGAAGTGTGGGTGGTAATTTTTCCAATGGCGAAAAGTTGTGCACTAACTGGCAAAGTATTTCTAACTTGATTCATAACAATTTATTCATTCATCAAATGTGAATATATTTGTTTTTTAACTTTTTGTAAACGACAATTATTTTGCAAGAGTTTTTAGTTTGAATTTGAATTTGAATACCGAAACAATTGAGTTGCAGAGAAATTGGAGTCTGTAAAATATGAGTCGATTAGTACTGAACTTCCCCCAACAATTCAATAGATCTAATTGACTGTATTTATTTTCTTGTTCAATCTGTTTTGTTGATTAAACTTAGCATGTTGGTGTCTTTTCCCTCACTTGTTTATATATTTTTGCAGGTAACGGGTGTTGGAATTAACACTGAATGGGGCCTTCTAATGGCTAGCATTTCAGAAGATACTGGTGAAGAAACACCTCTGCAGGTCTTCTTCTTATCTGCGGTTTCTGGCTCTGTTCTTCTGTTTCTTATAATTCAATTATTCTTATAAGTTCTCATTATAGGTCCGCTTGAATGGCGTAGCCACCTTCATTGGTATTGTTGGACTCACTGTTGCTGTTATTGTCCTGATTGTGCTACTGGCCAGGTAATTAATGGATTGCTCATGTTTGCCATATTTTTCTTAGTTTGAGTCATCAAAGGTGTTGTTTTGCATGCTTCTAAAGTGGAAACTTGTTATTAGATATTTCTCTGGGCATTCGAAGAATAGTGATGGGACAAAACAGTTTACAGCTGGCAGGACCTCAGCTAGTGATGCTGTTGATGGAGCAATTAAGATAATAACTGTTGCGGTAGGTGCCTTGATAAATACTAATTTACCATAGCACGAGTGGCTTTCTAATTTAGTATCTGTTGTTATTGTAATTTGTAACCCATTGAATATTTAGGTCACCATTGTAGTTGTTGCAGTGCCTGAGGGGCTCCCACTTGCAGTCACTTTAACGTAAGTCTTATAATTCTTGTCCAAGCATCAAGTTTTTACTTAGTTTGTTGTTGTGAAGTCTTACTACTAGTGTGTTTTAAGTTTTACATTAGTGCCATTGCACACAATCATAAATTTGCCATGATTCTTGTTCTTCATTATGATTTGAATTTGCTATGTTAATTCTTTCAGCGGTCATATTTTTGCTTGGTCCAATATATAGAATATTCCATTTTTCTATCTTCAGTAGGATTTTATTTTCTCGTTCTCCTATCAATTGTGATCGGTATTCATCTTAGAATATTAATATGCTCATTCCGATATGTAATATATTTGTTTTCTATTCTTCTTCAATTTTCCTTTCTCAAATCTTTATAATCTATACTGAACACATTTTTTCTGTCAATTTTTTAGTCTGGCCTACTCAATGCGGAAAATGATGGCAGATAAAGCTTTGGTATGCTAATTGATGTTTGTGCTTTGACTAGATTTTGATATGATTATATGAGTAGCATAACACATTGAATGTAGGTGAGGAGGCTTTCTGCCTGTGAAACAATGGGCTCTGCTACAACCATATGCAGCGATAAGACCGGCACATTGACTATGAATCAGGTTGGTTGTGGTTCAGTATTTGAACCATTGAATTGCATGATAACTTTTTCTGACGAGTTACTTAAACTTGTTGGAGGGTACTTGTTGCAAACGTTTTTCTCTTTTAGTGGCTTTCTTGCTTGGCATGTTATACAATAAATCACTATAATTGAAGAGTTTTACATGTAAACTATTTTATCAATATGATGTGATATCCAATCAAACTTTTGTTTATATCTTGAGGTAGTTCATTAATGTTAGCATTGGTTGGCATATAATTATGTTGTACAGAAGGTTCTCACAGATTCTTGATTTTTATGAATTCTGTGACAGATGACTGTGGTTGAGGTTTATGCTGGGGGCAGTAAGATTGATCCACCTCACCAGTTGGAGAGTTCTCCTAAGCTACGCGCTCTACTCATTGAAGGTGTTGCGCAGAACACTAATGGCAGCGTTTTTGTCCCTGAGGTATGCTTTAATTTATTCTAGTGAGATCTTCTCCTTCCCAAACAATTATTCGTCTCAGCAAAAAGTTAGCTCGGTCAATTACTTATTGCATACTATTGTCTTCTACAGGGTGCTAATGATGTTGAGGTTTCTGGATCGCCAACAGAAAAAGCAATTTTACATTGGGCACTAAAGGTCTGTTTTGGAAAAGCAGTTATTTCTGATTTTTTTTTTCAGGGTGATTTATGTGCTTACAACTACTTGTGACTTGTATCAAATCTCAGGTTGGGATGAATTTCGTGAATGCTCGGTCAGAATCATCAATTCTTCATGTCTTTCCTTTCAACTCGGAGAAAAAGAGAGGCGGAGTTGCAATACAGACGGTACTGTCTTATTGGCATTTTAATTCAAATATGTAGATATTTTACTTCCTTTGAAGCCACATTGTTACAATATTAGGTAGCAAATTCATGCATAAATGATTCATTATATCTGCCAAATAAAGTAGTTTTATACTTTTTTTTTGCAGGCTGACTCTGTTCATATACATTGGAAAGGTGCTGCTGAGATTGTTCTAGCCTGCTGTACAGGGTATATTGATAGAAATGACCAGCTGGTGGAAATAGATGAAGAAAAGGTTTGACAAACTCTGCATATTATTGGAGCATATTTAATATCGATATTTGGTTACTGCAATTGTTTCTGTTTGTATTTCACAGCACTGTACATCTGTTTTTGTCAGAACGAGTTGTACATGTGTTAATTAGTGGTATATTTTATAGTTAAATAGGATTAAAATCCCATAAATAAGATTTGATTAGCTGTGTATGTATTTATAGAAATTATTGGTCCTTACTTATAGAATTGATTGAGGGCAATGATAAGTATTTATTAGGAATTTCCTTTCCTAAATATATTGTATTCTATTTAAGAGCACAGGCTGCTCTAATCAAGAATAATAAAAACATTATCTCTGTCATGGTATCAGAGCTCCAACATCCATAGGAGCCTGTTAAAAATTGTGGCCTGCATTGCCATTGTTTCCGCTGTGCGGCCTGCATTGCCGATTTTATTTTACGGTCTATCTTGCCGTTTTTCCCAACAAAATTCAGAATGTCTGAACCAGTTAATACCCCTGCCCCAAACACCGGCTCTGTTGAGCTGAAAAATGTTCAACCTAGCCTTCGTCTCAATGGTAACTACCTCAAATGGTCTCATTTTGTCCAAACCTTTTTAAAGGGGAAGGGCAAATTGAATCATCTTACTGGAAAGGATACTCCAGAAGCTTCAGACGGGAAATTTGCTGCATGGGATGAAGAAGATGCTGTTGTAATATCATGGCTATGGAATTCCATGGTGCCTGAGATTAGTGATGCATGCATATTCATGAAGACTGCCAAAGAGGTGTGGGACAGCTGTAAAGAAAACTATTCCAAGGTTGGTGATGCTGCACAAATTTACGAAATTAAGATGAAGATTGCAACTACCAAGCAAGGAGATCGGTCCATTAGTGAGTATGCCCAAACTCTACAAAATCTATGGTTGGAGTTGGATCACTATGAACATTTTGAAGCAAAATGCACTGCAGATGCTACTTTACTAAAAAATTATAAGGAGAAGGATAGAATCTATAAGTTCTTAACCGGTCTGAACAATGAGTTTGATCCAATAAGGATTCAAGTACTCGGAAAAGAGTTACCCTCACTAAATGAAACCATGGCTGCCTTTCGAACAGAAGAATCACGAAGAGGAGTGATGATGGAGCCTCAATCAACTGAAAGTTCAGCCTTAGTAGCACAAAGTCGAGAGAAGAACATTGACCAATGGAAGAACGGTCAAACCGGAGGAGCTCCCAAAATGGAGATTGAAAGAGGGGATAACAAGGATTCTCTATGGTGTACCTTCTGCAAGAAGCCAAGGCACACCGAAGACAGATGCTGGAAACTTCATGGAAAACCGCCAAATCAGAACTGAAATTGGAACACCAAAGGCATTCAACGAGGAGGACCAGCACATGCCCACTTGGTCCAATCAAGTGTTGTCAAGGAAAGTCATTCCAAACCTACTGCTGATTTCAATTCAGAAGAAATTACAAGACTAAGGGAACTACTAGACTCTTTAGTCAAACCCACAAACAAAGGTAGTTCTTCCATGGCATTATCAGGTAGTTCTCATCCCTATGCTCTTAGTGTTTTACAATCTACAGGAAAAGGGACATGGATTGTTGATTCTGGGGCTACGAATCACATGACCCATTCCTCTATAGAGTTTATCTCTTACACACCGTGTCCAAGTAATAAAAAGATTGTCACTGCAGATGGCACTTTTATTACTGTTGCAGGAAAGGGAGATATTCCACTAAGTCAAAATTTAATGTTGAGAGATGTCTTGCATGTGCCCAAATTATCTGCCAAACTGTTATCTATTCACAAACTTACAACAGATTTACAATGCTTGGTAACATTCACTCCTACACTTTGCAAATTTCAGGATCAGGAAACGGGGAAGATGATTGGACTTGCTAGAGAGGACAATGGGCTCTACCTTCTTATGGAAGCGCGTGAGACAAGTAGCATTAAGAGTCAACTTCCACTGTCTTTGTTGTCAGAATCTATTCCTTCCCTCAATAAAGAAATCTGGTTGCGTCACTTCCGGTTGGGTCATCCTTCATTTAGCACTCTCAAAAATATGTTTCCCACCTTGTTTCAAGGTATAAACTTAGAAAATTTTCACTGTGATGATTGTGAACTTGCTAAACACAAACGTGTCAGCTTTCCTAATAATAATAAAAGAATGTCTACTCCTTTTTCCTTAATCCATAGTGATGTTTGGGGGCCATCCAATATCCCAAATATATCGGGGGCCCGTTGGTTTGTCATTTTTATTGATGATTGTACTAGAGTGTCATGGATGTATCTCTTAAAACAAAAAAGTGAAGTCACTCAAATATTTAAATTGTTTTTCCAAATGATAAAAACCCAATTTGAGACTACCATTAAACGGTTTCGTTCTGACAATGCCAAAGATTATTTTAATCAAACATTGTCTTCCTTTTTCACTGAACATGGTATTATTCATGAATCATCATGTGTCCACACCCCACAACAAAATGGGGTGGCTGAAAGAAAAATTGGGCATATTCTCAATGTTACCCGAGCATCTTTATTCCACACAAATGTTCCAAAACAATATTGGGGGGAGGCTGCTCTTACTGCAGCCTACTTGATTAATCGCTTACCCTCTCAAATTCTTCAGAATAACAGCCCCATTCAGCTCCTCTCCAAATTCTACCCAAATTTCAAAACTTCAAACCACCTAGTTCCTAGGATCTTTGGGTGTGTGTCATTTGTCCATGTTCATTCTCCACATCGAGGAAAACTTGATCCCCGAGCTATTAAATGCATATTTCTTGGTTACTCGCCTACCCAAAAAGGTTACAAGTGTTATCAACCTACAACAAAAGAGAATTTTGTGTCTATTGATGTCACTTTTGTTGAAACCGAATCCTTTTTTTCCAAACCTTATCTTCAGGGGGAGAAGGAATGCATCGAAGATAAGGATGATTTGTTCAAAGACCTTTCTTTTATGCCCAAGACTCCCGAGTCAAGTCCTATAACCACTTCATTACAGACTTCTAATGCTACTCGTCCACTACAAGTTTACACAAGAAGGGCAGCACCTATTATCCAACCTGTGCAAGTCCCAGAATCTGACCCAATTCTTGAAACTGTAATCAATGAGACTGTTTTAGAGGAGCAAATTGTGCCCCCTGAAACTGAAGTTGATGGGACTGATTTAGAGGAGCAGAATATATCCATGGATGCTAGAGATCTTCCAATTGCAATAAGGAAGGATGTTAGAGCATGTACAAAAAGGCCAAGGTATCCAATGTCTCACTTTATATCCTATGATAATTTGTCCAACAATCATAGAAGTTTTCTTGCTCATTTAAACACTACCGCTATCCCAAAAAATGTTACCGAAGCACTAGATAGCAAAGAGTGGAGAGAAGCTATGAAAGTTGAAATGGATGCACTTGAGAAAAATGGAACTTGGAAGTTAGTAGAGCTTCCTAATGACAAAAAACTTGTTGGCTGTAAATGGGTATTCACCCTTAAATACAAGTCCGATGGAACACTAGAAAGGTATAAAGCAAGACTAGTAGCTAAGGGGTACACACAAACATATGGGATTGACTATCATGAGACTTTCTCTCCTGTCGCAAAAATGAGCACTGTCAGAATTTTGTTATCTCTAGCAGCTAACTATGGATGGAATTTGCAGCAATTCGATGTCAAGAATGCTTTCCTACATGGCAACCTTGAAGAGGAAATTTACATGGAGGTCCCACCTGGGTTTAACTTTGAGAAAGACAAAGTTTGTAAGCTAAGGAAGGCCCTTTATGGACTGAAACAGTCCCCTAGGGCCTGGTTTGGCAGGTTTACCACTGTGATGAAAGATATGGGATATAAACAAAGTCAGGGAGATCACACTTTGTTTACTAAGCATTCAGCCTTAGGGGGAGTTACTGCACTAATTGTTTATGTGGATGATATAATTGTAACAGGAAATCATCAAGCAGAAATGGATAGCCTAAAAGTGTGTTTGCTAAAAGAGTTTGAAGTAAAAGAGTTGGGCAGATTAAAATATTTTTTGGGCCTTGAAGTGGCACACTCTCGTCACGGTATTTTCATCTCTCAACAGAAGTATGTGCTGGATTTATTATCTGAAACTGGTAAATTGGGATGCAAACCAGTAGAAACTCCAATTGAACAAAATCACAGACTTAGTGAATTTGTTGAAGATGCAACTATGGACAGAGAATCCTATCAAAAGTTGGTTGGAAAGTTAATCTATTTATCTCACACTAGGCCAGACATAGCTTATGCAGTGGGAGTGGTGAGTCAATTCATGCATAATCCCAAAGAAAATCATCTTAGAGTTGTTTACCGAATTTTGCAATATTTGAAGGGCACTCCTGGAAAAGGAATTCTATTTACAAAGGGTCAAGGAATTACTTTGGAAGCCTATACAGATGCTGATTATGCTGGATCAGTAGATGACAGAAGATCCACAGAAGATCCACATCCGGATATTGTACTTTTCTTGGAGGAAACTTGGTGACTTGGAGGAGCAAAAAACAAAACGTTGTTGCGAGGTCAAGTGCAGAAGCAGAATTTCGGGCTATGGCTTTAGGTATTTGTGAACTCCTATGGCTGAAAATAATTCTACAAGACCTAAAGATTGAATGGAATGGACCCATGAAACTATATTGTGACAACAAGTCAGCAATAAACATTGCACATAATCCAGTGCAGCATGATAGAACGAAGCATGTCGAAGTAGACAGACATTTCATCAAGGAAAAATTGGATAGTGGGACAATATGTATACCATTTGTATCAACTGGAAATCAGCTGGCAGATGTTCTTACAAAAGGATTAAGTGGTTCTACATTGCAATCTATTATCGGCAAGTTGGGAATGAGTAACATCCACTCTCCAACTTGAGGGGGAGTGTCAGAACGAGCTGTACATGTGTTAATTAGTGGTATATTTTATAGTTAAATAGGATTAAAATCCCATAAATAGGATTTGATTAGCTGTGTATGTATTTATAGAAATTATTGGTCCTTACTTATAGAATTGATTGAGGGCAATGATAAGTATTTATTAGGAATTTCCTTTCCTGAATATATTGTATTCTATTTAAGAGCACAGGCTCCTCTAATCAAGAATAATAAAAACATTATCTCTGTCAGTTTTTCTGTTTAGTTAGTCATTTTTACCAATTGTTACACCAGATGCTTCTAAAAACGTTATCTGAAACACAGCCAGTTAGTGATAGTTACATGGTATGATAGTTATCTCTAAGGCTGAACCTCGGTAATGAGCTTCTTCTCAATAAAAAATCAGATTCAAAATACACAATAAGGATCACCCTTTCAATTATCTATTTCTCCTACCATCATCTCAGTGTGGTATCAAGAGCATGAATTTATTGAACATGTCCTCAATTTTTTTCTTCGCCAGCTTCTCCTCTACATTGAACGGTGGCACCCCCCCCCCCCCCCCCCCCCCCTGCAAGTTCCTCTAAATTATCACTCAACAGTGGTTTTCTCTTGTATTTTTCATTCTGTTGCTTAAAATGAAGTATCATATCAAAATCATGATTGTTACCCCTGTCCTGGGCGCCTCTCATCTTCTATTATTGCAAACGCCGGAAAACTATTTCATTTTAATACATTTTCTGTGCTGTCAAGTTTAAGGACTCAAGTGAAATTCTCAGTGTGGAATTGTTGGCCCGAGTGGTTTGTTTTTGTCAATCTTTTGCCTTAATGTACTTCTCCCGTGCTTTCTATTGGTATTAGTTCATTCATGACGGAGTCGGAAGCCCTAGGGAATAGCAAGCGCTAAACCTAGAAAACAAGGTTGCAAGCGCAAAACCTGTCAGATAAACTCTGGAGTCCACCAAAAATAAGGAAAAGTTCAAATTTTATTATATGAAAGATAACCCTTAGGGTCATGTCAAAGGTCTTTAAATACATAAAATAAAATAACCCTAATGGAATAATTCTAATGGGCCTTATGGGCCTTCAATCCAAAACCTAATTAAATAAAACATAATTAAATAAAACAAATAAAATAGGAATTGCTTAAATATTTAAATAATATTATTTAAATATTAAAATGCTTTGACGCGCGATATCTTCTTCGATATGTCAAGGCAGCCCTTCTACATCTGACTCCTTCACTTTTGAAGAATTCGGCCTCGAGTTCTTTTCTTTATAAAGAGCTTCATGTGATTGTAATTTGCTGTAAGTACCAACTGGAAATCTCTCTTTATGCAGAAACGCCATCACGTCTTCTCTCACATTGAAGACTTTAACTTCCGTGTGTTTATCTCGCATAAGAGGCAAATCGTTTGGTAACTCATCTGCGGTCGAGTCCTTGAAATCCTTTAGGACCCTAAGCAGTTCTATTGGATTTGTTGTTTTCTCCTTTACATCATTCATCACCTCTTTAGTCAATACTGGACATAAAAATTTAGTTTCTTTAATAGTCTCATCATTCTCCTTTTCACTTAGTGTCATCAACAAGAAACTAGATTTAATTCCTCCTGGATTCTTATCAAAGTGCAAAACAGGATTCAGAGCAATTTTATGTGTGTCCCATGTAAACATCATCACGTTATCACTTCCTCGATTAGTGATATCATTATCAAATTGCTAAGGTTTACCAAGTAAAACATGACAAACATCTATATCAAGATTTCCATCTTTTACCTCATTGATTTGCAAATGTTCCACCTTTTTATCAATGTCATGATTTTCACTTTTGCTTACAGACATATCAACAATTAGTTGCTTTGAATTTTCACTTAAAAGACATTGCTTTTCAGATTTCAAAGCAACTTCAATTGTAAAAGAATCTTCACTCACTTCAGTACAAGAATCAAATTTAGAAGAAATACAATTATCATCGAGTTGATTTTTGCAATTGATTGTGAGACTCTCATTCCATAAATGCCCTTGTGTGTCTCCTTCATATTTATCAAATTCACCATCACCATAATTTACTTCAGTATTCTTTGCTGGCCCTTTGAAAATTTCGGACAAGGTCTCTTTAAGAGAAATTGTCTCCAATTTCTTTATTTCAGGAATGTTACTCAGGTTTGTAAAGTATAGAGCTTTTCTGCATGGTGTGTAAATTAGAAACTTTTACCTGAGAAAAGAAATCAATGAAAGGAGATGACTTTTGTAGGCCTGATGATTTTATTGTTCCTGACAAAAATTAGATTATGCGAAAGTTTTCCACCCTTAACATGTCCTACTCTCTTGTCTCTTCGTTGATTACTATTGTTGTTGGCGTTCTTCACCTTATTTGTTAAATTCGCCATTTGTTCAGTCAAAGCAGTTAGAGTCGCGGTAAAAGCTGCAGTAACTTCCTCAACATCTGCTTTGGTTGCCGGTTGTTCCGTCATGGTTGTCAAATTACAAAAAGAACAGGAGAAAATCTGCTCTAACACCAACTGATGCAGTCGGAAGTCCTAGGCGCTAAACCTAGAAAACAAGGTTACAAGTGTAAAACCTGTCAGATAAACTCTGGAGTCCACCAGGAATAAGGAAAAGTTTAAATTTTATTATATGAAAGATAACCCTTATGGTTAGGCCAAAGGTCTTTAAATACATAAAACAAAATAACCTTAATGGAATAACCTTAATGGGCCTTATGGGCCTTCAATCCAAAACCTAATTCAATAAAACATAATTAAATAAAACAAATAAAATAGAAATTGTTTAAATATTAAAATAATATTATTTAAATATTAAAATACTTTTTGACACGCAATATCTTCTTCGATACATCAAGGCAGCCCTCCTACATCAATTCATCGAAATCGTTTTCGTCCGAATACAACATCATTTTTGTCAGTATCTTTCCCTACATCTTGTTGTCAATAGCAGTGGTGGTGGCCTACGTGAAGGTTCAGTGCTAGGTGACTAGATTAAATATCACATCACAATGGAGCAAACCTGTCTAGTAGCCGTAGTGCTGTCTATGGCCGTGAAATCCCAGAGGAGTGGCGGAGAAGATAAGATGAACACAACAGGTAAGATAGGAAAAGGAAAAAAAGAACCTCATTTTTATTTCAAAGACAATTGCCCTCACCTTTTATCTTGTATAGGTTTTCCTTTTGTTGCGGCCTCTCCTAACTTCTCCTTTGCGATCTCCCCTTTTCATGTGAGACTGCAACCTTCACTCCTTCGCTCTCTGCGCCACCAAATCTCTTCTCCCCTATTTTTCTCACCCCTAGGATTTGGAGTAGTGGCCTAGCTGCTACACGCTTCACTGCTATAGCATTTTGGGGGTTGTCTGCCACACTATTCTATCTGTCATAGACTACATATATCGACATAGCATTATTGATATTAATAAATTTGTATTCACTAATTGAAATGAAATATTCTAAAATTGTATTCGTGGATGTGTTCACTCCTTCACATGTTTTATTCTTCTAAAACTTAAATTGGAAGGGTTGTTTATCATCAATTTAGAGTGCGCAATAGCACCGCCACAAGAAATGTGGGAGCCGTGTCTGATAGCGCCACCCTCATGTCTGTAAGCTTTCTTTCTTTGCGTATCATTGTGACTGAAACCCTTCTCTTTCCTCTCTTCGAGCTGAAAATTCGTGTCTGCAACACCTTCTACCCAGCTCCGCCGCAAGATAGCAACCTCAGTTTCGCCATTGCTGTCCTCCAAATGCAATCTCTCCTTTTTGCATGAAGCTGCCTTCCATTTTCCTCTTAGCTGAATCAGTTAGTGGAAGCTAGCTGATCTGACGAGTATCTCATAAAGCTGGAACCTCTATAGATACGTGGTTCTTCTCGTATAGACAGAATTAGATTTAGATTATATGAGAATAACCCCCTTTAGTTTCTTTTTCTCTTACCATAATCTCAATGCATATAGTAGCATCATGGTATAATGACTTATTCAGGAAGGTTAATTAGAATCAATGATTAGGTAATGACATTTTCTTTAATTTTGTTTTTCAGTTTTCTCTTTCTTCCCTCTTAGATCATGACAGCTTCCCCCCATTCATCTGTCCTGTATTTTTTTATATCTTTTCCATTTCATGGATTCTATTAGTACACAATCTTCTGTGACCGGAGAAATTTGAAAGTTGAAAATTTATAGAACAGGGAAAACCAAACAAATTAGTATATATTGAAATGTCTTGATGACCTTTTTGATTCTTAAACAGTAATTTTTGTTATAAGTTTTAAGTATAATTTTCTGGGTATGCAGATGACTTACTTCAAAAAAGCTATTGAAGACATGGCTTCTGATAGTTTAAGATGTGTTGCCATCGCATATAGACCATATGAGGATGCAGTTCCAGATACTGAGGAAGAACTTGCTCACTGGTCTTTGCCAGAGGATGGACTTGTTTTACTAGCCATTGTTGGTATCAAGGTTTGTATTTTCTTTAGAAACATGCCTACCATTTTCATGTTTGTTATTCTTTTTCTAATTATGTATGATATTATAGTCACATTATTTTTCTCTAACTTAAAGTTGAAGCTCCACCATTCATTCATTCCTGAATGGCTTTTACACTTGCATACTTTCTTTACTTGGGAGGCAGCAGGGAATTTTATTGTAGTTTATTTTCTTTGTTGTGCTTTTTTTCCTTGCTATTGACATTACTATATACTTGGGGATTTATCTACCTAACTTACGAAGGGGTGCCTGTCTTTAGATTTAGACTTCACAGAGAAATGTAGTTGATAGTTTATAGTTTCTGATGCTTCCACTGGTTAAATTTATATGGCTTTTGAATGACTTTTTTTTTTTTGTATATCATTTGTGTGTTGAAATACAGGATCCTTGTCGACCTGGTGTCAAAGATTCAGTACAGCTTTGCCAAAAAGCCGGGGTTAAGGTATTATAAATCTTTGGTTTTGAAATGTTTTTTAGTGTTCCAAAATGTGCTTATTGTTGAATGAACATGTTCAGTTTTCATTTCAAAGCATCACCATTGGAATGATGGTGGCACAGTGAATGTAAATGTATGCAAGTCATGTCAAAGTTGTAAAATGTACAATTGAAATTGCATGATGCAACTAATATAACTATAGCCACTTACATTGAACATATTGAACCTAAAATGTTCTGTATCGTATTGAGCTTTAAAACTGTCAATTTAGGGTACTTTTGAGAGGACATTTCTCCTGTGGAACATCATTTGATGGATTGCGCCAAAATCTGTGTTTTTTTAAAAAAAAATTTTGATAACGATTTCAAGGATCCAATTTTATTCTATAATATTAAACTTATTTGGTTTTCAATAGCTTGCAAATTGATCATCTTAAATAAGAAAGTTTCCCTGTGAAGTTTTATACATCATTTTTTAATTTCACTGTTTCAATTTCTAATCCTGTTTCAATTTCTAATCCTAGGTAAGGATGGTCACGGGTGACAATGTCAAAACTGCAAAAGCAATTGCTGTGGAATGTGGAATACTTAGCTCACTTGCTGATGCTACAGAGAGAAATGTCATTGAAGGAAAAACATTTCGAGCCTTGTCAGATTCAGAGAGAGAAGATATTGCAGATTCGATATCGGTATAGTCCAGCTACTATGGGCCTTCTAGTTCTTGTGCTCTAGTGATATACATTGTAAACGAATATTGTGTAACAGGTTATGGGAAGGTCATCTCCCAACGATAAACTATTGTTAGTACAAGCATTAAGGAGGAAGGGCCATGTTGTTGCTGTAACCGGGGATGGAACGAATGATGCTCCTGCACTTCATGAGGTTTGCGTAACTTATTTTTGGCTATATGATTTTTATGTCTAGTTCAAAAACACATTACAATGATAATCAAAACCGAAATGATACACTCGACCATACTTTCTATCTTATGTTGTAGAATATAAACACATTCCATTTTTCCCCCCAAATTTAAATAGTTTGACTATATTGTTAATGTAGAGCCATCCAGGTTCTTTTTTTCCCAGAGATTCAACTTTTCAGATAGTTGGCTCATGACTTGGTATCCGTTCCAAGTCTCTAAAGCCAATTGGTCATGGGTTTGATCTTAGTTGACCCATTCTTTTCTAAAGAAAATTAAATTTCAGTACAGTGAATGGTAAATTTCAAACCCAAAGGATAATTTATTGATGGTAGATGCTTAATGAAATGGCTTAAGCTTCAACCAATTGTTGTGTTGTCATCTGACAGCTTGAGCTTTTGGAATAGTTAGTGCATGACATATACTATACTATATTCTAATGCATGGATTTTTAGTTATAATGAAGTTGACTAGTTTTTTTGTGTTGTAATTATCTACCTTTTGGCACACAGGCGGATATTGGTCTTGCTATGGGTATTGCTGGCACAGAAGTCGCCAAAGAGAGCTCTGATATCATTATATTGGATGACAACTTTGCTTCAGTTGTGAAGGTAGAATCATCTTGTATTTGGGTGCTTGTGCACACACATGCTTGAATGCACAATAATTTGTTCATAATTTAATATATTCTTAATGAATGATGAGCACCTCTTCATATCATCTTGAAAAGCTATTTATGTTATTACTAGAAATACAATTTCTGTTTTTCAATATCAACAAGGGTTTGTAGAGAACTGATGCAATTACATATTTGCATAGTTTTGGATATTTGGTTAAGTAAATTGATATTTGAAGCTTAACTGGCAACAACTTTCATGGTTTTCTTCAAATTTAGGTTGTCAGATGGGGTCGGTCTGTTTATGCAAATATTCAGAAATTTATCCAGTTTCAGCTGACAGTCAATGTGGCAGCTCTTGTTATAAATGTTGTTGCCGCAGTTTCCTCTGGTGAAGTTCCACTTAATGCAGTGCAGGTACACCCACCCCCCTCTCTCTCCAATCTGGCTTGTGTTGCTGACATATTTGGGACATTCTTATATTTCTCTGTTTGTAATATTACTTTCTTTTCAGCTTCTTTGGGTAAATCTTATCATGGATACTCTGGGAGCACTAGCCTTGGCAACTGAACCACCAACTGATCACCTCATGGATCGAACTCCTGTGGGTCGAAGGTCAGAATTAATTTTTTTCTGATTATTACACGGTAGTCCATATCATTTTAATCTTGGGTTACAGTGTTTTGAAAATTTGGAGAAGAGATTCAATATGATTGGGAATCCAATTTTGTGGAATGGAGAAACTTTTGGTATAACCATAACAATATGAAATACAAGCAATTTGGTGTGGATACACAATCTCACATCAGGAAAAAGTAACAGTTTGCCATAGCCATAGAGTTGCTAGCCAGTGAAGGTTGAGTTTTTGTGTACGCATTTGCTAAATCTTGGGTTACACAGTGCTTTGAAAATTTGGAGAAGTGATTCAATACAACTGGAATCCAATTCTTACTATGTTTCAAATTTATGGGTCATTTTAGTTGTAACAAACTTCTAAATATTTACCAGGAATGGAAAATCTGTTGGTATAACCATAACCATTTGAAATACAATCAATTTAGTATGGTTACACAATCTCACTTAATAAAAAAAAGTTTCCGAAAGCCATGAAGCTTCTAGCCTGTGAAGTGTGAATTTGTGTGTGCACGCATTTGCTAAATGAATTTATGAATTGTACAATTTCATCCCGGGTTTATAGTTATCGCAATAGATTTGGACCGAGAGTATTTTACAAAACCATAAAGGAAACGCGGGTACCATCAAATGAGAGACACTTGTGGTGAAGCATGTAGATCCTTCTAAACAGTGAATTTGTATATGCACGCATGTATTTACATAACGTAACTGTTAATAATGACCAATTTATTTATTTATTTATTTGTGTAGTTGACATGCCTTTTTTGCTTTTCAGGGAACCTCTCATAACAAATATCATGTGGAGGAATTTGCTGATACAGGTGGATTCTGTTTCTCATTTATTAGTATTCCTGTTTGGTATTTTGTTGGGGTATGGTAGGAACTTGTCTGTTGGCTTATCCACATGCGGCCTGCTAAATGATTTCAAAAAAACAGTGTTGCATCATTATTAATAATGTTTATAGTAAACAGTTTCTTTTGGATCTAACTCTGGTGATAATAATTGGAAATTTTCAGGCGATGTATCAAGTGTCGGTTTTGCTTGTTCTCAATTTCCAAGGTGTACGCATATTGGGTCTTGAGCATCAAAACAGTGAACATGCTATCAAAGTAAAGAACACTTTGATCTTCAACGCTTTTGTTATCTGTCAAGTAAGTTATTATCTTCGTCCTTTTACTGCTAAATCCCTTTTCATGTCAGAAAAGGTTATGGCATATGAGATATTATGTTATGCTGCTAAATCCTCTGCATGCTTTCAAACTGCAGGTATTCAATGAATTCAATGCTCGTAAGCCAGATGAATTCAACATTTTTAAAGGAGTCACTAGAAACTTCCTCTTTATGGGGATAGTGGCATTTACTGTTGTACTTCAGGTTAGTCTTTTCAAGTCGTCTCATTGTTTAGCTTTCTCTGTAACTTTTTAGCGCCACTATATAACTTCTCCTGTTCTTCAGGTTATTATTGTTGAATTTCTTGGGAAGTTCACTAAAACTACCAGGCTTAATTGGCAGCAGTGGCTCATTTCTGTCGTTATTGGATTCATTGGGTTAGTTGAATAAACAAATTGAAAACCATAATTCCATCTTGTTCTTTCGTGACTTTTCATCTTATTAAACCTAATTTCCCTTTACTAATGTCTTTTTCCCCCATTTTTCAGTTGGCCTCTTGCCGTTGTTGGGAAATTGATACCAGTACCAGCAACTCCCATCAACAATGTTTTCTCTAAGATTCGAAGAACTAAAAAAAGTGAAGAACCTGTGGCTTCTCAATAGTTGTACGTAGGCGTTATGCTGTTTCAGACACTTCCGCTTCATTTGTTTTTCTACTGATGGTTGTAAAGGGAAATAGTATATAGTACTATATACCACGTTTCTTTTGCTACTAACCAACATTAACATGCTAATTTCAGGGGAAATTTGGATTTGTTTTACACTTAGGTTCTAACAAATATACGGATTTCATCTAGTTTTGGTTTTTGTGGATTGTATTTGTTTGACATCAATACTTTTGTGGATTTGATGAGAAAATATTGGTATCACTTCAAAATCTGTTTGTTGGTAAGGATTTTTTTCTTCTCTTGTTCTGTTTATTAGTAAAATCTGTAGTGAAGCTGTGAAGCTTCTCAGGCTGCAAAATCTATTGGGTCACGTTTCCTAGGTGGGATATCCCTACCTTATTAGCAAGTTAAAATAGATAAAAATAGGGCAACATGTCTTTCTCCGATGTATTAATGAAAAAAAAAAATACTATCATGATTTGACTTCCAATATTAGAAAAACTTTCTTTTCAACACTAACATTTGCTATTCTATTACATAAAAGACATGTGAGTCTTACCATTTTATAAGAGACTCATTTTAATAATAGAAGTGTATCTAATAATAGAAGTGTGTTTCAAAGATTGTTAAAAAGAGAATGTTTCTAACCCTCCTTGAATTCTAAAATATGAACTCATGATAGTAATTGACAATCTAGAAAATCATATAACATTGAAAACTTAATGTCAAGCACGATTCATTCTTGAACTTATATTTCATTTTTCCCACGGGGATAGTAATGAGTTGACTGGGAGAAGAACATCATGGATGATAAACTCAAACAAAAAGTTCTAGTTTGGTTGATTTAAGTAATCTTAATTAACTAAGCAATAGCATTTATAAGCAAAATGGTTCTTCTTGGTCACATATGGAGACATGTAGTCAGAGAGTGAAGCTGATGAACTCACTATTTCACTAGGAACAATGGTTTGATTTTTCCCTGACACAATTCTCATCCCAGCAACAGCTTCATAGAAGAGTCCAGAAACTGAAGGCACAAAGATATCACTTTGAGAACATACAAAGAAATCAATGGCCTTCTCAATTTCAATGCCTTCTGAGCTTAGAAACTTTTCTTTCTCAGTTGCAGACATTATATTTTCCTGTTGCAGCATAAGATATTAAAACCTCATTCACCAAATATGACATAAAAAAAAATGGTTCACACGAAAAAAGTTACCTTGGTATATGTTTTTGGGAACATATATATCAGTGAATTAAGATCAGTACTCCATTTAGTCTGAGTGATATAAACAACAGTTTCTTGACCAAATCCATTTTTCTTAAGAAACTCACCAATCTCATCTCCTTGGTAACATTGCTTTCTACCACTTTTATCTTTTCCATTACACTCAATTTTCAAAACTTCAGTTCTCAAATCCACTGCAACAAATTGTCCATTTGATTCATGGCTCCATGTTTGTAGATTTTGGACTATTGACTCAGCTATTTCTTGTATCTCTGATTTCAACTCAAGTGTTCAAAACATTACTTGGCATTGGCATGAAAGTGAGTCCAAGTTGTTGTTATTTCTTAAAATTGTTGTGTTTATTGAGGGAAAGTATGATTCGATCTTAATAATCCCTTTTGTTTTGTAGATTGGTTTGATTTTGTTCACAATGTAGTCTTGTTAAACCTTGTTTGGTACTCTTACAGTTGGTGTGTTTCTAGTAGACAATTGAGGAGGGAGTGTTTTTGTTACTTTCACCAACCCATTTAGTTTATTTAAAATATTTTCAACATCATAAACATCTCCAAGATTCCTGAAATGAAGTAAGTGATTATGTATAAGCTATTTTTTCTAAAAGAAAATAAAATAGAGTTAAGAAAAATAGAGCACACACATGCTATATCCTGACTTGCTACTCTTGATATCAGGAAGAACAAGAGTGGCTCCTAGGTATCTGGCTACAACCACTGCATCTGCAATCTATGCAAATTATTTAAAGAAATGGTAAAATCAGGACTTAGAAGAAACTGAATGGAGGAAAAAGTATAAGAACAAACAAGATCTTAATCATGTGTAGACTCTAATTGGTAATTTGTGACATTGACCAAAAGAAAAATGAAAGTGTTGTAACAAACCTGTAAGATATGATACTCAGGACCATTTGTTAAGGAAAATATGATAAAACCTTTAGATTGCTCTACTTCCTCTGCAGGTTAAATAAAAAAAGAGTCATTAGTGTCTTACAAGTTTAAAATGAACCTTGCGCCCGATTGTATCATCAAATTTTTGATATGACCTCTTTTACAACACAAATGCTAGCGTATTTGATTGCAATTCAGTGTGAAGTATAAAAGATCATAATTATAAATTGCGATATGTGGCTGCACATTAAAAATAATTTTGAAGTTTCTGCAAAGTTTTTGTTAGTTGTTAATTCTTAAAACATAATGCTCTCATGTTAGTGTCTTAACTAATTAACTACTAATTAGTTAAGTTGATTGCTTAATCAACAAGCTATTATAAAAGCGGTTGTAACTTGGTTTGAAAGTAATTGTAATATGTACAAGTTGCATCATTTATTCTATTGTTCTTGTTCATCAATGTGTGTATGTATTTGGTTGCTTACACTGCAAGAAACTCTAGAATTGCGCTAACAACTGGCATCGAGATCCACGTTTGATACAAAGAAATTGGTTTTGATACAAAGAGAAAATTGGTTCGATATCAAAGAGAGTAATGGTTTCGACACCAGAGATTTAATAAACACGAGAGACTTGTGAGGGGTTTTCAAATGGGATGTGTGAGTTTAGTGTTCTAGTTCAACAATTATCAATATAATGGTGGATTTCCGTCTAATATCTTAATTCTTGATGGAAGCTTTGAGAAGGATGAAATGCTTTGATGAAATCATTTTTTTGGAGCTTAATAAGTATTTGAAATGAGGGTAGAAGAACTACGAATAATTGTGAGCAAAATCTACAAATGGACCAAGGGCCACATTCAAAGATTCAAAAAAAGAAAGACTGCAAGCTTTGTTCCATATTCAACAAAATGTGGATGCTCATCATTTTGAAAAGATCTCAAAGCTGACAAGATCAAAAGAGATTTGAGATATCTTAGAGAAGTATCATAAATGTGAAGAAAAAGGTGAAGCAAGTGAAGTTTAAGTATGAGCTAATGCAGATGAAAGAAGACTAAAAGACAAGTGATTATTTCTCTAAGTTGATTGTAGTAATGAATGAAATGAATATCTTCTGCAAGGCTATTTATAATAATCAACTAGTTGAAAAAGTGATGAGATCTTTGACTTCAAGATTTTACTTCATAATGGTGGCAATTCAAAAATTCAAAGATCTTAAAATCATGAAAATCGTGAAACTGCAAAGTTTTTTGGAGGTTCTTGAACTCATGGTGATTAATAGAAGAATTGAGATGTCAATTCAACAAACTTTATATGGTTAAAAAAGAGAGAAATTAAAGTAAGTATAAAAATAAATACAAAGGAAGTTTCAAGAGTGGAAGCGGTCCAATAATGACAAATCAAAGTTTGATGACAAGATGAATTTTGCAAGAGATGAGAATGCTTTGACACCAATCAGTCAAAGAAGAATAAGTTTGATAAAAAAAAATGCAGTGTACCAACTTTGAGAAGTATAACCATTTTTCTGACGAATGTTGACACACAAAAGAAGGCAAGAAAAATCAAAAAGTGATAAAGAGGGACCCATAGCTTATGATGATAACTATGATTCAAAAGCAGTTTGCTAATGGTCGTAACATGTGAAGAAAATCATACGTGTGAGTTATGGTATTTTGATTCAGAATGTTCTAGTCATATGAATGAATGAAAAAATTGTCTCATAAACTTTAGGCCAAACGAAAGAATCAAGATAAGACTAGCAAATACAAATTACCTTGCAATAGAAGGCATACATGATATTGTCATCAGGAGAAAAGATGACAAGAATGCACTCATAGAAAATGTACTCTATGTCTTGGTATTGATGTACAAGAGCCAGTTGACTATGACAAAGCAATGAAGAGCAAATTTTGGATGGAGGTTGGGATTGAAGAACTCAAGTCAATTGAGAAGAATCATGCATGCGAGTTGGAGATTTTTTTAAGCTAAAAAAGAATCTAGATGATACAATTTAAAAGCATAAGCAAGGTTAATAGTTAGAGAATTTTTTGTAAAGATATGAAATTGACTATAATAAATTGTTAGTTCTTGTGAAAAGACTTGAGACCGTGAGACTAGTAGTGACAATAACTAGTATGAAGAATTGGTCCCTCTATCACTTCCTAGTATATATTAAGTTTGATTTTTTGAATGACCCATTAGAAAAAATAATTTATGCCATTCAACCACCAGGATTTTTTTAGTGAAACACAAAAGTCACATGACTTACCAGTTGCATAAAGCTTTTTATGGATTGAAGTAAGCCTCTTTATGATGATATGCTTATAAGTATTCCTTGAATATCTTAAGGAAAAAAATGAAAGTTGAGTTTGGGATGACTAATTTCAGCAAGCTCTCATACTTTATTAGCATGGAGTTTATAAAAGTTAAAGAAGGCATTGTAATGCATCGACATAAGTATGTGAAATAGTTATTGGATAAATTTGACATGATTGATTGTAAGACAATCACAAATCCATATGAAACAAATGCAAAATTGATTTATATTGTGATAAAGAGGAATTGGTGGTCCCCGTGTACAAATAAATTGTAAGATCATTGGAATACTTATACAATAGCATACATGTCATCTATTATGGAGTAAGCATCATCACATGTGAACCCAGGAAGTCCCCTCAAGTGGTTTCAAAGAGGATACTAAGATACCTAAAAAGCAATGAAGCTTGGTCTTTTATTTTCAGCTATGACGAAAAAAGGATTATGTGGCTAAATGGATCCTTAGGTTCTGACTGATACATGGACATATATAATAGAAAATCACTTTAGGTTATGTTTCAAGTACAATGATGCAGCCATTTCCTAGTGCACTAACTAGCAACATGTCACAACATTATCATCTTACGAAGCAGAATATATTGTCGATGCATTTTAATCTCATCAAGCTATTTGGTTATATTCTTTAATGAAAGATCTAAAATGTGACGTGCATAAGTCAGTGAAGCCCATGTTTGATAAAAAAATCAATTATAAATTTAGAGAAGAATTCAGTCTCACATAGAAGAGCACACATTTAGAGAGTAGTTTACATTTTATTAGGGAACAAGTTATGAAGAAAATGCATTGTGTCACTTATTTTCCAACAAATGTTTAACTTAGAGATGGTTTCAAAAAAGTATTTAAAGATTTTGTATTCTTAAAAAAACAACTAAGATTGATGTATGTTTGGATTATGAATTAACAGGGGACATGTTAGTTGTTAATCTTTAAATATAATTCTGCTAAGTTGTTAGTGATTAATTAGTGTATTAACTACCTAACTCACTAACTAAGTAGTCAGTTAGTTACTTAGACAACAAGCTATCATAAAAGTTCTTGTAATTTCGATGTAAAAAATTAATTACAATTTTTTAAAAGTTATAATATCTATTCTATTGTTCATTGTTAATTTATGCAATTGTTTCACATACTAGTGATGAATTTAGTGATTGATTTTTGAGTTTTTAAACTCTCCTAACGCGTCCCTCACCTTATCACTAATTTCTCTAGGCGAGGATAACTATGCTTACAGGGCAAGTTCTTTATGTAACGTCCGTAATTTAATTAAATTATTTTTAGATTATTTGTAAAGTTGTGTTATGATGATATATGTTGTGTTGTGATTAATTGAATTAATCTATTCTATTAAGTTGTGGAATAATATTAGAATAATACTATTATTGATATGGGCTTATTTTGAGGATTAGAAGTAGTAGAAAGGGGGTGTAGGAGTTTTAAGCCCATTAAGACATGATGAGAATTATAGGGATATTATATTATTTATTTAGAATTAATAAGAAAAAGAAGTAGCACTAAGAAGAGAAAGAAATAAGGGTTGGAAAAGAGAAAGAGAGCGTGAAAGTTGCAGAAAAGAAGGAAAAGAGGCAGAACGGAATTCAATCGGAAAATTATAGAGCAAGCTTCAATCCAAGGTAAGGATGAGGTTCTGACTCTATAATAGGATTTATGATGAGTAGTATGTGGGATTGGATTTGAAAAGTTGTTTTGTTTATGAATGAAATATATATATATATATATATATATATATATATATATATATATATATATATATATATATATATATATATATATATATATATATATTGTTGTTTGATGAGGATCAATGATTTAGAGATGAATAATGATGCCCTAATGCTGTATAATTGATGTAGAAACATAAGATTATTATAATTGATGATTACCTATGATTAGAGGATGTTTTTAGGACCTAAGACATGGAAATCACAGAGAAAACGCAGTGAAATCGCAGAATAAATTCAGCACAGATCAGTATGAGTCGACCTCAAAGGCCATGCGTCGACACATGTAAGATTTAAGATTCAGGGTGAGTCGATAGGAAGGATCATGCGTCGATACATGCAGTGTTGCAGACTCAGTATGAGTCGACACAAGAGGATTACGCGTCGACTCATAAAATACTCAAAACCCAGTACGCGTCGACTCAAAGAGACATGTGTCGACTCATGCTGTCCAATTTTTGACAGATTTTTCCAAAGGCTGTAACTTGAGTTTCCGGACTCCGTTTGAGGTGCCATTTGAAGCGTTGGATAGCTAACGCGGTGAACTTCATTCTTAAGGATTAAAATGAAGGATAAGAAGAATAATCCTAGTACCCAAATTAGGATAGAGTTAGCTTCCTGTGTTAATCGCTATGACGATTTCGTGAAGTATGATGAGGATAAGACGATCTTAGATTATTGCTTGGTTCATAACAGTAAGATTAATAATAATAATGATGTATCATTGCAGTAAAATAATATGTAGAGGTTTGGTAATTAGAGATAAGCATTAGATGATTAATTAATTAGGGACATTATCTTGTTGGGAGCCTATGGCCAACGTTGAGGGATTATCGATTTGTCGTTGTATTATTGTTATGGCTGAGTTGATGTGGAATTATGTTGATGAATTATGTTGATGAATTATGTTGATGAATTATGTTGATGAATGATGTTGAGATGCCTCTAATAATTGGTAGCTATTTATTTGTAGGCTTCTGGCCAACGATGATTCGTGTTGAGATGTTGTTAATTGTGGTTGTTGTTACTACATTCATGATTGTGTCGCATACATTGCATATCAAGATGGAGCTGATGCTCGTTAAGATGGCCTATATTCGCGAATATTAAGATGAAGGCTTATGCCTTGTTGATGCCTCTATTTATTGGCAATTAGTTTGAGATGGGAGTTCTGCTCCAATGGTACCACATGTATTTGCATAGTATTGAGTCGCATTATATAATTGCATAAAGAAGTTGTGTATTAATGCGGTAATATTGTATATTGTTGGTGTTCTATTGCGATTATTGTTGTTTATAAGATGTGAAGTGGTGATATTATATGATCTTATCTAATATATTATTTACCATACGTTTTATTATATTTTTAGATATCTCACCCCTTCTGTTTGAATGTTACTCTTACGTTGGTAACATGCAGGTAATCCAGAGTGAAGGCAGTATACCTTCGGTAGTTCGAGTCGGTGTCATTGCTCTGATTCATAACACTCAGGGGGATGAATGCTTGTTGCTTTTAGTTATTGTTATTCTAGTTGTGAACTTTAATTTGATTATTGCTAAGTATGTGTTATTTTGAAGTTGCTTTAATATTGGACAAGGATATTATTATGATTCCGCTGCGTAGTTGCCCAAGTTGTTGAATTAAGAGATTAATTTATTTTGCTGTTGGTTCATCCGAAGTTTTAAAATGTTATGTATCCATGTTGAATGCAATGGTTTTTAAGTTGAATTTGTGGCATCCTGATTCAGTTGTATGAATTTTATAACTCTGATTTATATTTATAATTGCCGAATAGAATTGGGGTGTTACAAAGTTGGTATCAGAGCAAAGTTGGTTCGTCTGACCAAGTTGTCGAGTCATAGTTATCTAACAATCGAGTATTGTTAATTTGAGTTCTAACCGTTGTTTATGTTGTAGTGATAAGTTGAGATGACTGGAAGGAATGAGGCTGCACTTGTTGCTGCTTTAGAAGAAATGAAGCATGCGATGGAGAATCATCCGAATGCTGACGAGAATGCTGGATCTCATAGTTTGGTGACCTTTCAGAGGGAGAATCCCCCTACCTTCAAGGGCAAGTATGATCCTGACGGAGCGTTGGATTGGTTGAAAGAGATTGAGAGAATCTTTCGTGTGATGGAATGCACTCCAGTGCATAAGGTTCGGTATGGTACTCATATGCTAGCAGTCGAGGCTGATGACTGGTGGCTAGAGACTTGTCAGAGATTGGAAGCTGTGAGTGAAAATGTCACTTGGGTTGTGTTCCGTAGGGAATTTCTGAGGAAGTATTTTCCTGAAGACGTTCATGGTAAGAAGGAAATTGAGTTCCTTGAACTGAAGCAAGGTAGCATGTCAGTTGTTGAATATACTTCAAAGTTTACTGAGTTGGCTAAGTTTTATCCGCACTACGGTGAGGCAGATGCTAAGTTTTCAAAGTGCATCAAGTT